TTGTTGAAGAAATTTTAACTTTACTTGTTTTTGGGATATGGGATAGTGGTGAACCATTTTACCCGCGAACCTTTAAGATTTTGTCTGCCATATACATTTTCAAACATTGGCCTTTATATCTAGATAGCGACGTTGCTTAATACAATTCTTTTGCCCTCTATTTTTAAAACATTTTTGTTAGAAATTTTCTAACATTATTAAGAATGGATTAGTTATTGTGGACCTTTTTACCCGCGGGCCAATATATATTTTTGCATCATTATGTCTTATAAATACAATAATATCACGATAAAATGAATCAAGACTTACCATATTATTTTTGTATTCCATGGGTTGTTCATAGGGCCATACCAATCTGTCTGCTTGGATCCATCGTTTTCCTTCTAAATCGGTACTAGTCGACATTGAATAGAAGTCGGAGATTCTACAAATTTAAAGAAATATAAAAAATTTTATATGAAAAATTATACAGTACATTTTGTACTTATTGTGTTACTAATTGTGTGCTGTTATATTTTAAATATCATATTGTAATTAAATATCAATATTGTAACTAAAATTATGTAAAGTAGGTAGACAAATTTAATAAATTATGCCAAATTATGTAAATAAATGTTAATTTGTAAGATGTAAACTCTATATTTATTTAATAGATTTTTTAACTAATTAATATTATTTCAGTAATTCCAATGTCCCACAACGTCCAATGTCTCTTGGAGAAATTATCATACATTTACACATATATAGCTTATAGCTTATAGCGTATAGCTTTGGTTCAAGTATTATGTCCAGACAGAAAAATCCTTTGACGAGACATAAAATTAGTCGCGTTAAGAATTTTAACTAGTGGGGCGCATGGCATCGTGCCTTAAGGCAAATTGCTGGAACTTTGCGTACCAAAAATTATTATTTTTTTAGAAACAATTAACACTTTTGAAAAAAAGTTATTTCGAAAAAAATAGATTTTTGAGAAACCATAAATTTGACAAAAAATTACTTTTTTTGAAAAAAATGTTTTTTTTTGAAAAAAAAAGTTTTTTTTTATTTTGACATATTTTGGAAATTCTGAACTTTTTTTCAAAGCAATCGTACTGCTTTAACTGCATAGAGACAAAACTTCAAAGCGCGTAAGCGCTGCGTCGCCGTCTAATAGATGAACATATGTTTATCTATTCATGTTAGGAGAACGGAGCGTCCGATTTTAATAATTCAAAAAGCATTTTACTTGTATTGACAAGATGAAGAATTGATCAAATTTTCTTAAAGACAGGTCTAGTGGTTTCGGAGATCTAATGAAGAAAGTAAAAAAAAAATGCCATTTGGCGGTCAAAAATGATCATTAGACATATGCACATTAAATTATGAGATATTTTATAGAGATTTCAATAAAAAGTATAAATTTTGTTTACATTCCTATGGGTTCCATACCAATATTGAAAATTTGATCAATTCTTCATCTTGTCAATACAAGTAAAATGCTTTTTGAATTATTAAAATCGGACGCTCCGTTCTCTTAAAAACTGAGTTACCGTTGGCACTTTTTGCCCGGTATCTTCGGAACGGCTAGACCTACCTTCGCCAAAAACTAATCAGCAAATCTCCTTATCAATACGAATCAAATGTTTTTTTAATTTTTTAAATCGGTTGATCGGTGTTCTCAAAATCGTCGACAAAAATTTGTATCCGCACACACACACACACATATATTCATTTTTTCTAAGGTATGCCAAAATATTCAGAAAGCTTTGAAACGTAAAGATATATAAAAATTTTCATTTTCGATTTTTTGCGATTACTATAACTTACCCTACGGGAAGTTAATAAGATTATTTCTGTAATATACAAAACACTTTTGTACAAAAATAAATTCGCATTATAATTATTTTTAGCTTATGTAACTGATCGCATAAGTCCTTGCAATTAGTAATTGAGAAGTAGTAATTAAAAGCTCAAAACATAAACAATTAATTTATACCATATAGTTAAGTTAATTATTGTTGGTAATAAATAATAATATATAATTAACACTAATAATAATTAATAAAGAATGATAATTCATTTCTTGTTTATAAATCGGCACTAAATGATAAATATTATTTTTTGTTTTGTAGAATAAATCACCGAACAATATGTATTACTGATATTAATTATCAAAAGCATTACTTTATTATTGATAATCACCTCCAAGAATATGCAAGTATAAAATTAGTTTTATCATTTATTACTTAAATAATTTGTTTTTTATATATTCATGATCACTTACCGAGAAATTCGTATTTTGTTTAATGACACGTAACATTAACTAAAACCATTCGAGTAAACCGCTTTCAAACACTTTTATGATTGATTTGAATTTTGTACAGCAATTTAAAAATCGCTTATTGAATTCGAATAGGGTAGAGCGGGGCTTAAAGGTCCGGCGATATCTCAAAAGTAAAGTTAAGAAATTTTTAACAATAATATTTGAAAATAGAAGAAAATAAATGTTTAACCAGTCATCACCTTAATTTTTACGACGTCGCTATCAGAAGATAAACAGCAATGTTTAAAAATCCAAAAGTATGACAAAAGTATTTTCTTTTGTTGTTAGTTTTTTCATCGTGGGCTTTATTGTTGAGCTTACAAGACCTTGATATAAGTTTTAAGTATGCGTTATTCAATTGTTTCATAAGATATAGTGTTGATTTTAACTTAGTTTAAAATTAAAAATGTATCTCGATGAGGAATATTGTTTGCCAGTTTTGTGCGACGATCGGCCAAGCCGTTTCTTTATAAATAGCAGAAAAGTGAAAAATTCGTTCACGTTTTAGCCCGCAATTCTGAATCAATTTTGTAAATTCAAAAACCGTTCGAAAGATATTGGTTGGGAATTGTGCTGATTAGTTTTTGGTAGAGATCGGCCGGGCCGTTTTCTTGTAAGAAAGTGTCGAAATTTTTTTTTCGGACAATTTTTGTTATAATTTTTTTGACGGTAAGTACCATAGTCTTATAGATCATACTAAAACATTACGGTTCTACGACAACTCGTTTAACTTTAAAAATTCGACAAAGTTTGCAAAAATTAGTATTGTTTTTTTACATTTTCCAAAATTAGACATTTCGTCAAAGTTTGCTCAAAAACGCCTGAACCGATTTCAGAAATTCAAAAGCCATTTGATGTATCTCGATGAGGATTATCGTTTCTCAGCGACGATCGGCCGAGCTGTTTTTTTGTGATTTGGAAAAAAGTGTTAAACCTTTTGTTCACATTTAAACTCATACTACCAAATCGATTTTCAAAAATCAAAAACTGTTCAAAAGATATTAATTGGAATAGAATGATACTGATTAGTTTTAGGTGAAAATCTACCGAGCCGTTTTCTTGTAATTAACTGTTGAAAAAAAATTTTAAATCGATTTTTATGGATCTTTTTTTGGCGATATATATCATGGTTTTATAGAACTTACTGAAATATAACGGGCTTCGACAAATAGTTTAATTTTAAAAATTCATCAAAGTTTGAGAAAATAAGTAAATTTTTGACGTTTGTTAAAATTAAAATTAGACGATTCACTTAGCATAACTGAGTACTTGGTCTTAATGAACATACTAAACCATTAAAGTCAATTAAAATCAAAGTAATTATGGAAACTGGTTCAATTATAAAAATTATTTATTTTTGAAAATTTGCTTTCAGAAAATACTCCGAGTTAACGTGTTTGTTCGTTTTCAACTATGTGCAATAAATCCACTCATAATACTTTTAATCACTCATAAATGAATTTATTTTTTATTGATTAAGTCGATTATTTACACATATGGGTAAGTTCATGTAACTGGTCTCAAGGCAAAAAATCAATACCAACTAGTTATTTCATAATTTCTGCTGTTTACTATGTAGACACTTTTGTCATCAAAATTATTTTCATTAATTGCCTCGTGCAACGTCATATGATAAGCAGTTTATTAGCCAATTTTGAAAATGATTGAATAATTTGCTAGAACTCTAGCATAAATATTTATCAAGCACTACATGCCATTGATTAAATATAATGTCAAATATTCAAAATCTCCTAACTTAGGAGTCCTAAGTATATAACAATTAAAATCGAGTCTTTTTTATTACAATTATAGCCAGCTACGCACGTGGTTGCTAGAATTTAAATCTCAATAAAACTTATTCCGGCTCACATGGCTAAAGAATATACTATAAAAGATAAATTAAGTATATTTAATACAACATATGTTTTGTTTTACAATGATTAATAAGCTACTAATAATATAATAATTTATTATTATTAAAAACACTCTATATATAATATACACTTATCAATAATATATTTCTGAATATACATTAAATTACTATCGTTCCACAGAAGGATAAATATTTTATGTAAAATAGTATTATAATTAAAGGATAATTTTTGATTTATATACTTACGTGCCTATACTATTTGTAAAAAAAATATTAAGATCCTAATATTGATATATCAAAATACATATCGCAGTGATTCCATTTATATATAAGATAAAATAATTTAACACATATTATACATAAATTATCAAGAAATATTTTAAATTCTATTAGTGAATGAACGTAGTTGAAGTAAACGTGCTTGCTTAGATAATAACTTTAATGTGACTTATAAACTATACAATCAACCAAGTGATAATATTTAATTTACGAGTCAAACATATCACGGACGAAAGGGAAATTAAATCCTAATATATATTAACAATATAAAACTAATAAATACGTAAAATATTCGGGACTTAATAAAAATACTTTTATAAAACATACAAATAAATCACAATACGCTTTGCTATAAAAGCTCACAATTGCTTTTATCTTCAAATTGTCCGATTTCGGAAAACGCATATTTTAGTAGTCAATTAATATACTTTACCTTAAGATCTTTTGCTGATCTTGATTTATCGATTTCACTAGTTGACTATAAACCTCTAAATAAAGTATTTAGATATTTGGAGCTTGATTAAATTCTAAAGTCCTTCTTGCGCTTGGATGGATTTGGGGACGTTACATTCTACTAACGACTAATTAGGATTTTTCTTCCTGTATAAACATTTTTTGACAATTTTACTAGACCCCTTCTTTTCTTTATCGGCTCCTTCTGTTGCTGGACTCGCATCAGAATTTGACTTGATTGACATCATTTGCATTTTTCTCAGCATACCAGTTGCTTTTTCCGACCCATTTGTTAATGCCTTGTAATGACTGGAGCATTGAGAATCAGCCACACTTCTACCGTCACCTTCATCCCTTTTCAAAAATTCATTAAATTCGCCATCAAATTTGTCATTTTCATTTTTTAAATCGTTGGTCAAAAGCAAAGTTGATAAAGGAGGAGCTAGACCTAATCCTATGTTGCGCTCGTGGTAAACTTCTGATATCGCAGGAGTTAAAGCATGACTCGGATGTCGTATTAGTGATGAAGTGTTCGAATTTGATAATTCTTTAGGTGATTCTTTTTCTTTGCTGTTATAAGGCTCGCCATCTTTATCTAAACAAAAAAAATGTTTTTATAGATCTCGAGCATGTATAAACATACTTGTTTGTTATCCATATAGACACTATATAAAATTTATTGTAAAATGTCTATTGCTAGACGAAATCGAATGTCCAGTTTTAGAAAAACATAAAAAAATAAAAATAAAAAACGAGATTATCATCAATTATTAGTAAACGGTAAATGATTTGTACAATGATTTTTTTGTTATATTCACCGATAAAGTAACTACCTTAATCCAAAAATAGTTTCACTTCAAAAACCTTATTACTAGAAAACACAGGAATAGAAATTTTGGTAAATAACAAATATTAAATCCGATATTACATGATCAAAATTTAACATATAAGTATGTGAGTAATTTGGGCCAAAAAACTGAAAGTTTATTAATATTTGTATCAAATTAGTTTTCATAATGAGAATATTCGACTAATTGCATGCACGGACTGTTAGTATATTATTTTCAAAATATAAATCATATTACCGATGGTCAAGTTATTTGCTATTTCAAGCAATTTATGACGCTGCATCATTTTTCCAGAGTCGTTAATCGAAGTACTTGTACGTACACTTAATCGGTCATTAATTTGCATATCAGACTTATTACTGGATCTCATATTAAAATCAGCATCAGCATTTGAAGGTTCAAAATTCAAACCACTTAATGGCAAATTGTTGTAAACTGACAGCGAAAGCATGCTATTTTCTGGCAAAAACTTAGAATTTTCTTTTAGAGCACCTTGCCGTTTAACTAATGTTTTAACTTGGCAGATTGAATCGTTAGATGAAAAACTATCATCTTTTTCTGATTGTTCTGATAAAGGATTAGAAGCATGTTGAGCTATATGCATATTGCACTTGGCTGCACTTTCTTTCTCAAATTTGATATTAAATGTGTTGTCAAACTCTTGTTTTTTGATTACAGAATCATTTTCTTTGGTTAATTTTTTATTTTTTATAAAATCTGTATATGAATTGACGTGTCTTGGTGGCGGCAGTGGTGGCAAAACATCTAATAAATAGAAAATTTAAATTAGTACAACAAATTAAAATAGAAGATTGAATGAGTAAACTTGTTAAAAATAAAAATAAATCAGGATTAGTTATTTTATTAATATTCATTTATACTAATTGAAAACGTGCTTTCAAGTTATTTTGGTGAGAAGTTGTTAAATTATTGTCCTTCGAGGTCGGAAACAATTTATAGGTATATATATAATTTACTTCAAATAAATATACCTTCTCGGTGCAAGTTATATAAAGATCGAATGCGTGTTTGGTGTTCAAGAGCTATTTGAACATCATTTGTTAAGATATTTTCAGAAGTCATGGCGTTGTCAACACTATTAGTGATAGTACTATGCGGATTTTGAAAGAAAACAGGTGGGCTAGGTGTAAACGCTGCATCACTCTCACTTCCTCCACCTGGTCTGCATACCTAAAGGCAAATTTTAAATTATGGTGTAATGTTGCTGCATATAAATTAAAAATAACATTAATAAAAAAATTATTAATATATTCGAAAAAATATGCAAAATAATTTAAATACGCGGAAGGTATACGAAAAATGGCTATGCTCAAAAATCATTCAACTATATACTATGTAACCCATAAATTACTCACTTTTACTGCAGTTCTGCTCAGGCCCATATAATGATTCCTAGCATTCCATAAGCCTTTAGATTCAACGCTTTTTATATTTGCAGTTGCAATTCTTGAGTTCGTGTGCAAATTATTGTCTGAATTTATAAGTAGATTTATATGAGAATTACTATTTAGCGGATGAATGTGCACATTGGAGTTGAGCTGACTTTGTGTATAAGTGGTCGAAGGGGCATGACTGTTGATGGTGCTCCCACCATCCGGTTCGCCTCTACCACGGACGTAAGATATAAATGCGCCTCTTCCAGAACTTAACTTGCTTATTGACTTATCTAATTGCTGATGCACATCTAAAGATTTAAGAAATAAATAATTTGATAAAAAATAATTCATTTATAGCCTTCGTTGTAAAAATTATAAATGAAGACATGATCAATCCATTAAATGATGATCTAGTAAATTTTGTAATAAATATTTATGTTAATTTACCATTCAGAGTTTGCGGGTTAACATTTCTTTGATTTGATATATATGGACAAATGCTGTTATCACTATTCAGACTTTCCATTGAACTGCTTTTACTGCTACTCAAACTTTTTGGTTCATCTGCAATTGCTAAAATAATAAAAAAAATAGTTAAAAAATCGTTAATAAATATTCCTATAATTAAAATACATTATCATATTATATACAACAAAATATTAATTAAGGAATGGGACCAAACTTTTCAAAAATGTCTAATTTAATTTAATATCAAATTAATATGATTATTTTCAAATTTACCTATTAATGCTGTAAGTGCTTCTAATGCAAACTGTGTCTGCCTCGTATTGGCTTTTTTGCCTGCTCTTAATTTGATACGATCACTGCCGACGGACACTAAATCAAATCCTAACGAAGCAAATAATTCATGACAGCCAGTAATCCTCCAAGATCTGAAGAAGAAACAATTACAATTATAATTTCAATAAAATTGTAGCGACAAAGTGGTTATGAAAATTGCAAATCTAACCTGACACTCAAAGAAATTTCGATTCCATCGCCTGGTTGCTTCTCTACTAATTGTTCGGAACATTTTTTTACAGCTGAAATTATTTCTTGTGAAATTTCTTCTTGTTGCGTGTTATTGTAATTAAGCTTGGCTGATTTTTTCGATCTCGTTTCATCATTTATTAATGACTGCGAAAAATCAAATTTGATGAGTGGAAAAATAATCATATATTTTTTTGGATTTTAATCGAAAACAATACGTCAAAAATAGTATATAGAGAAAACTAATCTGTACTATTATTATACAATATTTACTATCACTTTCTGTACTACAGTAGATATAACCTGAGCTGCATATAATAAATAAGATATAATTTCATACGCATATTTAGTAAGAAAAATAAATAACTAGTGGTGCATGGCATCGTGCCTTAAGGCAAATTGCTGGAATATGCTGAAGGATGATAACAAAATGATAAAGGAATATTAAATTTTCAAATAGATTATTTTGAAATCGGCTGAAATTTTTGAATTTTTGAAATCGGTTTATCCATACGCCCGAAATCGTCGACAAAAAATTGTCTCCACACATACACACACATCCATTTTCTGAATTATGCCAAAATGTTCAGAAACCTCTGAAACGTGAAGATATGCAAAAATTTTCATTTTCGATTTTTGGCCCATTTTGGCCTACAAGAAGTTAATAAAATTATTCAATAAAAAAGGTAACATTAAAAACTTTTAGATGTAATGCAATAAAAAATCATTTACAATACCTGGACTGCTTGCAGTGAAGCATGTGATAAACCAAGTAGAGCCTGTAAAATTCCAGAACACTTTGCGAGTCGTGCACACGGATCACTTTGTGGGAAAAATACAGACGAAGGAACACCATTGGCAGCCGGTTCAAATCTTTAAAATCAATTCATAGGCAATCAATCATAAGTCGAGCAAAAAATGATTATCATTCTTGCTATATATTTTGAATTAGTCACTCCATAGTTTATTTGGCGCATATTATTTAATGGCCAAGTGTATAAACTAGGCATGAGCACGAAAATAACAGTGCTCGGCACAAGTTAATGGTTACATGAATTTAATGAAACACAAAAGTATAACAAAATAAATTGAATAACAATTTTATCTGTAATATAAATATACATAAAGACGAAAATCATTAGATTATCCTGGATGATGTAACCCATCCTTATATAATTGTAAGATATCCATATATTATTAAGATATTTAGACATAAGCTTCTTGAGATAGTAAAGATTCCTCAAATCAACCATATGCATAAAAAATAGAACTTCATCAGACGTACATTAAACCAATTTAAAATAGTACCTGAATCCAACAGAAATCAATAAGTTTTTCCATCCAGCATTATTATACTTCGTTAAATCTTCTGTTTCTTCCTTGTCACCATTTTTAGATCCACTGCTCGTCGTTTTGTTCTCGATTGACCTTAAAGTGGTATACATTGCGTTTCTTCGACCTTCGTGAATTCGCTGAAGTGATTTTTCGACCAGATGTAAACACACTCGCAAACATTGCCTTCTTGAATGTTCCGGGTTATGATGTAATAAAATATCTTGTAAAGATTCATTCATTTGTGCAGCCTGTAAAGCATTTAATATATTTTGATGTAAGTCTTTGGTAAAAGTGCTAATATTTGCGCTGAAATGTCTAATTGCAAGAATTTACCTTTGTGCAGAGACGGATGTTAGATCCCATTAATGTGAAACCAGCCCAATTTGCCGGATGCGAAAATTGCTTTGTATACTGAACCGTTTGCATGGCTTCTGATAAAGCTCTGAATAAAATACATTTTACAAATAATTTACATAAGTAATTATACATCTTATATGTAAAATAATAAAAGTGTGCTTACCTAGCAACTCTCGATCCTTGCATTAGCGAAGAATAAAAAGTTTTCAAAAGTATTTTTACTGCACCAACATCACTAGCTGGCCATAAAGAGACCAAAACGCAATGAACACCAGAGTTTAAAAAAGCACTTGATAATTCATATAAAGCATTTGTATTAGTTTTCATAACAATATCATAATTCGCATCAGTCTCATCAAATATCGTGGCATTAATTACAACCTACAAAAATATTAATAAATTAAATTATCAACCTATTTAATTTACAATTACGATAGTACAAAATTCAAATTCTTTGAACATTTTTAATATCAAAATTTATATTTGTAGTACCTACCTTTAGTAGAGTACTAGTAAATAATGTTTTGCAAATTATTATTATATTTAATTACTTACAAGTTTTGTATTGAGTTGTAACTGTGAAATATCTTTAGTGTTTAATAGACCATCATTTAAACCGCCCAATGATATATTCGGATTCATTTCTACCTCATGTATCTCTAAACTTCCATCGCCACTAAATGTTCGACGACTTGAGCTCTGTAATGTAACAACGAATATTTTTATATTTTTTACAATTATGAAAATATATTTGTATATCTTAGTCTTAGAAAATAACAGCAAAACAAAACTCTCGCTATAAACTATTTTTGAAAAAATACACATTTGACTATTAGATTTAGCATTTTTAATATATTGTACATAAAATAGAAGATTATTTTAGAAGTTTTTATTGGTAATAAAATTTATAATGCATAGGTAAAGCGAGAGATTAAAAATAAATTGATTATCTGTTTTTGGTAAAAAAAAAGTTAATCCGAACAATATAACACAATTTGGTGAATAGTTATATAAGAACTAAAAAAATAAAATAAATTCACTACATATAAAGAAATTGATTGATCAACTAAATATTACCTGAACCTGATTTTCTATTGGCTCGCCCGTGCTCAGGACAATTGATTTTAAAGACCAACATATTTGAGCTGAGAAATGAACGCAATCTGCGTTGTACATTTCTTCTGTTACAGTTTCTTTGGTAGCCTGAAAATACGAGTTTATTTTATAACGTTTCTACTAGTTTTTGTTATACATATTTCATAAGCATAAATTCACCACATACCTGAGTATCTGTAAGTGTTTTACAATGTAACAACTCAGCAATCATTGAAGCATCCTGGCTTGAACTTACATTTATATTTTGCGAACCAGCATGATTCGATCCTCCATATAATGGACTTGTAATAACGAGCGCGTTCATAGACTCTAAAATAACGATCATAATTCAAATTAAAAATACTTTTAAATACATATAATAATTATAAAGTAATTATTCTTATCATATCTGCAGCTTAAAAAATTACTACGTTAATTAAGCAAAAATACATACCATTTCCCAGTTGTTTTCTTGAATTTTTATGCCCAGTTGGTTTCAAGACTTTCAAATACGGGACGACCATCAAATCAATACGATCACCCAAATACTGATGTTGCTTTTCATTTACTTGGGCCAGAGTGCTACAATTTTTATTTCGCAGTATTGAGAACGGTACGGCAAACAGATCATTTTCAATGACCAGTATCAATTTCTCTCGGACATTATTTTCTTTTGTGCCTATTTTGAATATATTTTTCTTTTAATAATTTTTGAAAAACATTCAAAGCTAGTTTGAATAAATATAATAATACGATTTATTTTTAATCAATCAAATTAAAAATCAATCAAAGATTTATTAGGTACTGGTACTGCAACCCTTAAATACTTCAATTTTATGACAAAAATAGTATCTAATAATTCTAAACTTAAAGAGGGATTACCGCATGCATTTTATATTTGGTAAAATTTGACTTTCTGTTAAATATAATTAAATAAATAATAAAAATATTTTAAATAATAATTATTAACAAATTATTTTGCGTATTTTTAAACAAAATCGTCAAACTGAAATCGATAAATTTTAATTTTATTTTTAGTCGACTATGTATTTTGACACCTAAAAAATCAATCTACCTATTATAGAAACAATAAAAGTAAGTAGCATAAATATAGAGTTAAAATAAAATAAAAATATTTTCCTAGATGTGAGCCTGCTAAAATGAATGGAAGCAAAGTTGTAATTTAAACACAAAAAATCATTCGAAGCTGAGCAACTGGTCATGTAAACTTTTGCTTTTAAACCACCAAATAATTATGTATTTAATAAAATAAGCTACTTAATACCTGTTTCTTGTAGTATATCATCAAATGGCGCTATAAGTAGATCATACAGCGCCGATAGAGTATCATTGAGAGACTTTGTATGTTGATTCCTATTTTCTGAACTAAGATTATTTTCAGAAAAGTTATCTTCAAGCAGGGACTGCGCACTTGAATGTGTAGTAGAACTATTTTGTAACTTTTTATCAAATCGAGTATTTGGAGTATCAAAATGAAGTGATCCTCTAGATCGTGTTGATCCTCTAAGACTAGTTACTGAACCAACGCTGAATAATGAACTGAGGGAATAATTGCTCGAATTCAGCAAATTATGCCTATTTACCTATAAATATATTTAACATTAATATTGTAAATCATAAACATGCATTTGTATTTTCAAAAATTATTTCTAATTAAACGATATAATTTTGATTTTAACTCACCATTCGCAAGAAACCAGATTTTTCTTCGGGCTGATTTGATATATCCTCTATATTATTTTGGTTATTAGCATTTTTAGTCATTAAATGTTCTCGTAGAAATTTTATTTTTGCGGTTAATTGCGAACCTAAAATCAATAAATTTAATATAATAATGCGATTCAAATGAAATTGAATTTTATATGGTACAATTGGTACTTCGATTATCATATTATTTATAGATGATGATGTAGAACCGCTTAATAATTTTGTTCAAGTAAATCCAGAATCTATCAAAATAATAATTTTGAGCATTCAAATCGATATTAAATAATTTTAACATTATTATTTAAAAATAATCAAATAAATCAACAAAAAATTAAGATTTAGCATCAATTAAAATTGTGACAATATAATCTTGAAATTTTGACACGACCCATTAACAAACTAATCAATTTTTATAATTAAATCAATTTTGTAGGCCTATAATATTTTAAGATACTCGTTAAGACCATAAACTCTATCATCATAAAAGTTTCATCAAAATTGTCAAAAGAAATTTAACTCGACCAAATTTCTAATGAGGACGATTACCAACTGATATTTTTCAAACGGTTTTTAGACTTTTAAAAACGGTTAAGCGGCAACTTCGACAAGAAAACATGAAATTAGCAAATCGGATTTTCTTACCAAAACATAAACTTCTCCTTCGGAAAGTTGAACATATGCATTCATTACATAATAAAATCGATGTATTATATAAAATGAGTATTTAGAGACATATGAAGTATTTTATTACCTTCATCACTTTCTTCTGATAATAATGGAGTATCATGAAACTTCATAACACCTTTGAAAGGAACGATGCACCAAGCATAAAGATGATTCTCTAAAAGACTATAGTAAAGTACGCAGGCTTTTTGTCGATTAACTATTTCTATAAGTGTGCCTAAAAATGATATATTTCAAAACAATTAATTAGAAATGTATTTTTAAAAATAAATAACAAACATTCAGCCATGTAGTGAGAACTTACTTAAAGTAATATCACAGCTATCGTTTAATTTAGTTTCTTCGTTTGCTTTATTTTGTTTTTCTATTATTAAATCCGCATATAATCTTGTTCGACATTTTTCTGCTATCACAAGAGCATCTTCATATTTTGATAATGCTGAAATTATTTGAGACACATACATTAGCAAATTATTTTTCATAAAAAATAGTGTAAATAAAGAAAATCAAAAATATGAAACATGATGATGTACTAAATGTACTCTAAATGTACTGACCTACTAAAGTTTTTTGCAATGCGTAATAACAATCTGTTTGCACGTCATAATATGATTGTTTTAATTTATCATGAGTGCGTTGTGCTTTCCTTAACGTTTCCAATAATTCGATGGACTTTTTGAAGTTTTCTAAAGCATTTACATAATCTTCGTCCTGGTGCAAAGCTAATCCTAGTCTATAACGCATCCTTGCCTGAGAGAAATAAATTGATTATTGCAAATTTTTACACAATAAAAATTATTTTTTGTAGATACTAGTGAGCAAACTCAGTGTTTAAAATAAAAAATGATTCTTAAATAAATTAAATAGTTTAAATGCGGATTTATATCACACAGCTATACTGATGTAACTACAAATCTCTTATGAAAATCAAATTGCTAATAGATCATCATTTATCTTTGAAAACAAATTTGTCGCGAAACAAACGCAATATTGTATAACAATAATTTCTGATAAAATAATGTGAAATATAATTAATACAAATAATATTAAATTTTCTTAAATAATATATTTAAGAAAATTTTCAGTAAATTTAATAAAATTGCAATTAGACCTTTTCTTCTTTGTCGCCCAATGATTCAGCTATTTCCAATCCTTGCGTTAAATATCTGAAATAAATATATCATGATTATTTTACTAATGTTAATATTTTTTCATTTAAAGCAATTAACTAAATAGTTAATAAATGCTATCTACTAAGATTCTTGATGAATATAAAAAATTATAAACAGTATTTGAAACTAGAATTCATAAATTTGTACAATAGACAGTTATACAATTGTAGAAGTAATTGCTGTAAAGATAAAATTTAAATACAGAATTGTGAATTAATTATTATTACCTAATAGCGTATTTAATGTCTCCCTTGTATAACATTACTCTGCCAACTGTTCTCAGAGTCTCGCAGAGGTCTTTGTTAATATTTTTTCGGTTGCCTCTCAAATTTGTTTGAAAACTGATATCATTGTTTTCTTTCTCCTCTTGGCAAATTGAATTAGTAAGCGTGAGGGCACGCTGAAGACACATTAAGGACATTGTGATGTCTTGGCGAGATTCGTAGGCGCGACCCATACGACCCAAAGCACGCATCTGAAACAAAAATTCATTTTAGTCGAAATAAAAATAATTAATTTATTTTGACAATAATGTTCCATAATTACCATAATAAATTTTAAATAACTATCTTTTTAGTATCGTTAAACGAGGATTTGATGAAAGGTCCGTAACGCGTTCAAATAAAGTAAATTGAAGTGAACTAAATCTCATGCGAGAAATTATATAGAGCATATTTTAAGAAAAATTAGACCTGATTAGTAAGGAACAAACACAGTTTTGAACTCTTGAGTTAAAAGTAAAAAAACAATATAAAAAATAATGATAGAAACCGTGATGTTGTCAAAATTAACTATTATTAAATTTATACGTAATTAGTTACTCTATTTTTTTTTTCTTTAAATAAAACAATAACTAACATTAACAAAGATTATTTTCATGTAAATTACCTGTAAATCTATTAGTTGCAAATCTGTACAATGTTTTAAATCTTCCTGGTGAAACTTCAATGCCGCTTCATGATCTCCTAATTTTTCATACATGAGACCCAATCCCGATAATGAATTGGAAATCATGGTGTTGTCGTTCAGTTCTCTATAAAAATAATCAATAATATACAGTTTAAGAAAAAATAAGACAAATTATACTATAGAGGATTTTTTGGATAACGTATTGAAAAACATTGTAATAAAATATTTCACCTGGCAATATCTCTTTGATGCTCCAAGCACGAAATAGCTTGTTCCGAATGTCCCAAAGAGTTGTGGATAAAACTCAAATCGGCGTAAGTTAGGCATTTTTCTTGTAAATTTCCTAATTGATCTGAAACCACTAGCCGTTTCTCCAGACAAACCAGCGCTTGTTGTAAATTACCAAGCGACCTTAATAAAAACAAAAGCAATTGTAAAAATGATATTAATTACAGTCTTCTTATAGCAATAATAATAATTTGAAATAATTAAGTATTACAGAAAAAAGTAATATTTTAATATAGAATAGACATCCAATTTTTGGAATATATCGGTGATTATAATATTATATTATATGTAATTTTGAGTACACTCATTGTTAAAAAAAATCTTGTTTGTTCTTACTTATGTGAATGTGCAAGTCCTTTGTATGCCCGTTCTTGATCTTTCGCACATTTCAAATTCTCCAAAGCTAATTTTAAATAAATTTCATGACACTTTAAAGATTCCTCATAGTCGCCCAAGCATGAATAACAATCACCAAGTGATCCGTGAGCCCGCGCTTTTTGTTCAACAATGGCTTGTGAAGATATGTTAGCTGTTGAACAGTGAGAAGGTATTTGCTCAAGTAGTGCTAGTTGCTGCAAGAAAGTGTCCCAGTTTATAATTTTAACAATAATAATTAATTTTTCATTATTTATTTATGCTATGTAGTAATTTTTAATCAAAGTAGATGAATTTACCATACTAATGAATAAATGTGAATAGATAAAATAAATAATAAAAATTATATGTAAATACATATCTAATTTACTAATTTAATGCTTACATGTTCTAAAAATCCTATGGCTTCCTCGTAGTATCCCATATTAAATTTAGCAATACCGAGATTTCCGTAAGCTTGAGCTTCTTCGATACAGTCCTTCAATTCTCGCGCTTTGTCTAATTGTTCCTGTATTAAAAAAGTGAGGTTTGAAAATTAATTTTTTAAACATATGAATAAAAATAATATATTACTATTCAATAATTTCATGATTTTAGACTTACCTGATAACATCTCAACGCATGTGTATAATGACCTAAAGCAATATGTATAGCACCAAGTGCAGATTGTGCTCTACACTCGCCCCGAGCATCTCCCAATTCTTGTAACAAGGATAATTCTTGAGTATGGTGTGCTAAAGAAAAATCGTATCTCTCTTGAAGCCGGTATACACGACCAAGAGAAGAGCAGGCCTGTGCTTCTAAATGCCGATCTTGAGTCTAATTGATAAAAACCAATAAAATATATCTATTTATAAATTTATCTTAAATTACTTCTCATTACCTGTCTTGCAAATTCTAATTGTCTTTGGTACATTTTTAACGCCTCTTCTTCATTTTGCATTTTTACTAGCACGTCACCGACATTTCCCAGCGCTCTAAATTTTCCTTGTTGATGTTGTGTCATATGAGCTATGGCTAAAAAATATTTTTGGCATTCCAGCGCTGTTTCTAAATGACCTAAAGCCAGATGTGCTAAGCCTAAATTACAATATGCGTGAGCCATAACGGCATGATCTTGCAGATCTTTCGCTAAGGTCAAATCTTGATTATAATATCTATAAGTAAAATTAATAAATGATATTAAAATTAAATACCACAAGCGATATTATAAAATAAATTATAGTATTTAAATTAAGTTTTAGATCAAAATATAAGTTAGACACTAAATTAAATAACTCACCTAACTGCTTCTCTATAGTTGCCTAAGCAATAATGAGCATATCCCAAGAAATGGCATGCTTTACCTTCTGCGGCTACATCGCCCATTTCTTGAGATAATGCTAAATTTTGTTCATAATATGGTACGGCCTGTGCAAAATCACCACGACATGACAAACAGTTTGCTAAATTCAGCAAAGCACAAGTTTCTCCAGAAGTATCTTTCATTTCGCGCGCAATACCTGAAAATAAAATATATTAAACAATTAAATTTAATGTAATAAACAACTAATACCATCGGAAAAAATATAATTTATGGTTTCTTTACCTAGATGAGCTCGGTAGTGCAGCAAGGCCATATCGTGTTCTCCTAAAGCTTGATATGCCACTGCAAGGTTTCCATGTGTTGATGCTTCTGAATATCTATCACCTACTTCTTGGCTTATAGCAAGTTCCTGCTTGTGATGTCTTATGGCAGGTTCGTAAAGACCAGCAGAAGAATAAGCATTCCCTATATTACCATACGCTCTTCCCATACCTGCTTTATCCTAAGAAAAAATATTATATATTAAAATTTATTCTGCTCATATAAATAATAATAGCATTTTATCCGTTCTTTAAAACTTGAAAAAAAATAGATTTTTGAGAATTTTGAACTTTTTTGAAACATTTAACCTTTTCCACTCGCTAATTCCGAGATTAATGTGAATTTTGCCGCCGGAGCGGCGACATTCGAGTGGAAAGGGTTAATAGTTTGATTTTTTTTTGAAAATTTGGATTTTTTCTAACTTCTCGTAGTGTAAGTTATAGTAATAGCAAAAAAAATCGAAAATGTAAATTATTGCATATCTTTAGGTTTGAAAGCTTTCTGAACATTTTGGCATACCTTATAAAAAAAAAAATGGATGCATGTATAAGTGTGTGTTTTGTGTAGATACAATTTTCGTTCACAATTTCGGGCGCACGGATCAACCGATTTAACTGTTTATCATGTTATTTCAATAGATTAATTAAACATATTATTCAATTCAAAACCTATATATGTATTTCGTAATGTATTACTATTACAGTAAGCAATGAAGTTATTGCTATTTTATTGTGGCAAAAATATATTGAATCAATATTTTATATTAAAAAGTACGCCAGAAGAACATAATCAGCAGTTATATAAATTTTGTTTATAATATGTATAAATAGTCGAACCTGTAACTGGCGAGCAATGTTTAAATGCGCTTGGTGAAGTTTCAATGCAGCATCATATTCTCCCATCAATTGATATACTATTCCGAGATTACTACAGGCTCTTCCTTCTCCCACCTGTTAACACAAATGTTTATTATAGTATAACGTCGAGTTATTTTGTTTACTTAACTATTTTATATTATACTATAAATAAAGATATATTATATTTATTATTTGAGCAATAGTTTTACTATACTATATTATAAATAGTTAATATCGCTGAGAATATTCTCTTCTCTCATATACTATTTTTATGTATTATATTATATTACTATTAATTATAATTTTAATTTTTTTTGCTTCATTATCATGGTTACATCAAATATTAACATAAATATATAATATTTACTATAATTTTTAAAATATGTTATTGTATTAGGTCAAAAAGCGATGGTAGATCAGTGGAACACCAGTGACTTTGTTAGATATTGATAATAAATTTGATTGATTGATCTCTATTATTAGTAAAATTGATTTTTCCTATTTGTTATAAAATTATAATATCAATATATGTGTGTATATATTGTGACAATAATCAATATTATCGTGTTATTGATAATTATTGTCGCCTGATGGTCGTCCACCCCAAAGTACACCATCCCTACCCTTAACCATTTATTGGTTCTTGGGGTCCATCAGTGAGTTGCTCTGAGGGCCTGTGCAATTAAGAAGTTACAGCCATCTAAGACGTATCTCATAGGCGAACGCCTTGGGATACGTTAGTGTTAGTTGTGTGTGTTGTGCCACAAGACAGGTCCAGCTTAAGGTCAGATCATGTAAATTATAAGCTGTAGCTATTCTCCCCCATGCATTTATATAAGCAGATATAAGAATAAAAGGTATTAGTTAGGAAACATTGACTGTATGCAAGTACAGTCAAGTTCCACAAATACATACGAGATGTATTATTAATTATTTAAATAGATTTAGTTATAAAAGTAATCTTGGTTTCATTCGCATAGTAGCTACTAACTCCTACAGGTAATTACAGGTACTCTAACGGGCGACTGAAGTGTCGAAGTAACCCTTTCGTAATGGGATGCAATGCTAAAATATAGTATTAGGCAGCCATTACAATCCCCAAGAAGGGGGCTTCAACCCCCACTTGTCACAATATGTATATAATAATTACCTTATCTTTGGCTCCCAAAGCGGCGTCCAACTGCCGTTCATGCCATCGTTTTGCCCTGTCCAGTTGTCCAGCGCACCTGGATGCATGCCCTAGTCCAGCACAAGCTCTAGCTTCCAAAGATCGATCCCGAAGAGATCTAGATAAATGTAAAACCCTGTCATGGCACAACGTTGCCTGAGCAAAGTCCCGTCTGTGATGATGACAAGAGCCCAGATTCGAATAAGCACGAGCTTCTTCGGTCTAAAAGAAAACGTGCTAGTTTAACTGACAATGGGTACAAATATTAGTCCTGTTGTCTAAATATTTTATAACATTTATTAACCTTTAACGCGCATTGCTTATAACTACTGGGCATAGTTTTCGACGGATTTTTAAAAAATTAAGTGCTCCTTTTCCAAAGATAGAGAAAAAGCATAATTAATATTACATTATTGGATTTGTTTAGTTTGTCTAATATTGCTTGTTGACCATTCAAATTTATTTTCTAACTGCATCGTGCCTATATTGAAATTACAGAAAGAGAAACCCAAAAATCTTCTTGGTATGTCATGCCACGTGTATGGCGGCATTAAATTATTTTAGAATATTTACAATGTCGCGAGTATGGCGGCACTCGTTCGTTAGGGGTTAAATATTGTTCAATCTGTCTACATATAATAGACTAGAGATATACTAATAAGTTCGATGATTGCATAAATGATAATAGTTCGATATCTTAGTTTATTGCAAGATGAATTGTATAGATGTATGTGATGTATTTACATACCACGTTTCCTAATCGTTTAGCTAGCCTCAAATGTTGCGTATGACAATCTACAGCCGAATCGAATTCTCCATTGCTAAATAAACTGCACCCACATTACCAATCTCTCGCGCTTCCTGAAGTCGATCTCCTAAAATTTTACCAAAAAGTAGTATTTTAATATGAGATATCCATAATTCATGAAATAATATGTTCTCTAAACTTACCTAATTGTTTTACTAACTGTACGCATTGCTTGTGGGTGGCGAGAGCATTCTGATAGTCGCACAATAGCTGTGTACACATGACCCAAAGATGTTAGTGCCATAGCTGCCCTTGCATATCCTAAAATAAATATTATACCAATAATTGGTATTTGCTTTAAATTGAAGTAACACATATATAACATAATCAAAGCAAAATTTTACTTATCCTCTAGCGCAAGAATAGTAAAA